TGTGTGCCAAGTTATACTGAAATCAGACCAAAACTGTAGGAGGAGTAGCATTTTGAAAGAATTTCACAGAAATTTCTATTTTTAGTAACCATGGCAACACCGTTCATTGAATCAAAAACCAATACACAGAATTATGTATCTTAGTGTAGTCTACTTGTGTGCCAAGTTATACTGAAATCAGACCTAAACTGTAGGAGGAGTAGCATTTTGAAAGAATTTCACAGAAATTTCTATTTTTAGTAACCACGGCAACACCGTTCATCGAAATCAAAAACCAATACACAGATTATGTATTTTAGTGTATTCTACTTGTGTGCCAAGTTATACTGAAATCAGATCAAAACTGTAGGAGGAGTAGCATTTTGAAAGAATTTCACAGAAATTTCTATTTTTAGTAACCACGGCAACACCATTCATCGAAATCAAAAACCGATATACAGAATTATGTATCTTAGTGTATTCTACTTGTGTGCCAAGTTATACTGAAATCAGACCAAAACTGTAGGAGGAGTAGCATTTTGAAAGCATTTCACAGAAATTTCTATTTTTAGTAACCATGGCAACACCGTTCATCGAAATCAAAAACCAATACACAGAATTATGTATCTTAGTATGGTCTACTTGTGTGCCAAGTTATACTGAATTAGACCAAAACTGTAGGAGGAGTAGCATTTTGAAAGAATTTCACAATAATTTCTATTTTTTAGTAACCACGGCCACAGCGTTCATCGAAATCAAAAACCGATATACAGAATTATGTATCTTAGTGTATTCTACTTGTGTGCCAAGTTATACTGAAATCAGACCAAAACTGTAGGAGGAGAAGCATTTTGAAAGAATTTCACAGAAATTTCTATTTTTAGCAACCACGGCAACACCGTTTATCGAAATCAAAAACCGATAAACAGAATTGTGTATTTTAGTGTAGTCTACTTGTGTGCCAAGTTATACTGAATTGAGACCAAAACTGTAGGAGGAGTAGCATTTTGAAAGAATTTCACAGAAATTTCTATTTTTAGTAACCACGGCAACACCGTTCACCGAAATCAAAAACCGATACACAGAATTAAGTATCTTAGTATAGTCTACTTGTGTGCCAAGTTATATTGAAATTAGACCAAAACTGTAGGAGGAGTAGCATTTTGAAAAATTGTTTACAGACAGACGGACAGACAGACAGACAGACAGACGGACGGACGCCGGACGCATTACTATCGCATAAGCTCTTCTGGTCTCTGACCAGTAGAGCTAAAAATCAGAAAAATCTTTCAACTTTTGCGACAGAACGCTGCGGAAGGGGTCACGTGACCGCCAGAATGGATTTTTCGGAGACTTCTTCAAGGCCCTAGCTAGAGTCCGGGGTGAAGCCCCCGGAAGCAGACAATTTTTTACAAACATGAGATGTTTTTTCCTTGTACATGTATTTGTATCCAGAAATTGAATAATTTTAAACAAAAGGTGCTAGTAGCTGAGTTTATTGCTAACGATATCTTAGTAACATCAGCACTAAATCATATTGAAAAAGAACAGAGATCGTTTTTATCAACAAAATTAGTGGATATCAACGGTGTAAAAATCCAGCTACTTCAAGAGTATCAACATTTGTCTCCAAAAATAGCATAATATGAAACAAAAGGTACCAGTAGCTGAATTCATTACTAACGATATCTTGGTAACTTTACTGCCAGATCATGTGGAATATCTTAGAGATTATGTTAATCAGCAATATCAGCTGATATCAGCGAGGTAACAAACCAGCAACTTCAAAAATATCAACATTTGTCTCCAAAAATAGCATAATGGGAAACAAAAGGTATCAGTAGCTGGGTTCATTACTAACGATATCTTGGTAACTTCACTGCCAGATCATGTGGAATATCTTAGAGAATATTTTTATCAACAAAATTAGTGGATATCAGCGGTGTAAAAATCCAGCTACTTCAAGAGTATCAACATTTGTCTCCAAAAAGAGCATAATTTGAAACAAAAGGTACCAGTAGCTGAGTTCATTACTAACGATATCTTGGTAACTTTACTGCAAGATCATGTGGAATATCTTAGAGATTATTTTTATCAGATATATCAGTTGATTTCAGCGAGGTAAAAAACCAGCTACTTCAAAAATATCAACATTTGTCTCCAAAAATAGCATAATTTGAAACAAAAGGTACCAGTAGCTGAGTTCATTACTAACAATATCTTGGAAACTTTACTGCTAAATCATGTAAAATATCTTAGAGATTATTTTTATCAGCAATATCAGTTTATATCAGCGAGGTAACAAACCAGCTACTTCAAAATTATCAACATTTATCTTCAAAAAATAGCATAATTTGAAACAAAAGGTACAAGTAGCTGAGTTCATTACTAACGATATCTTGGTAACCTTACTGCCAGATCATGTGGAATACCTTAAAGATTATTTTTATCAGCAATATCAGTTGATATCAGCCAGGTAATAAACCAGCTACTTCAAAATTATCAACATTTGTCTCCAAAAAAAAGCATAATTTGAAACAATAGGTACCAGTAGCTGAGTTCATTACTAATGATATCTTGGTAACTTTACTGCCAGATCATGTGGAATATCTTAGGGATTATTTTTATCAACAATATCAGTTGATATCAGACAGGTAATAAACCAGCTACTTCAAAATTATCAACATTTGTCTCCAAAAAAAAGCATAATTTGAAACAATAGGTACCAGTAGCTGAGTTCATTACTAATGATATCTTGGTAACTTTACTGCCAGATCATGTGGAATATCTTAGGGATTATTTTTATCAACAATATCAGTTGATATCAGACAGGTAATAAACCAGCTACTTCAAAATTATCAACATTTGTCTCCAAAAAAAAGCATAATTTGAAACAATAGGTACCAGTTGCTGAGTTCATTACTAATGATATCTTAGTAGCTTTACTGCCAGATCATGTGGAATATCCTAGAAATTAGTTTTATCAGCAATATCAGTTGATATCAGCGAGGTAACAAACCAGCAACTTAAAAAATATCAGCATTTGTCTCCAAAAATAGCATAATTTGAAACAACAGGTACTAGTAGCTGAGTTCATTACTAACGATATCTTGGTAACTTCACTGCCAGATCATGTGGAATATCTTAGAGATTATTTTTATCAACAAAATTAGTGGATATCAGCGAGGTAATAAACCAGCTACTTCAAAATTATCAACATTTGTCTCCAAAAAAAAAGCATAATTTGAAACAAAAGGTACCAGTAGCTGAGTTCATTACTAATGATATCTTGGTAACTTTACTGCCAGATCATGTGGAATATCTTAGAGATTATTTTTATCAACAATATCAGTTGATATCAGCGAGGTAACAAACCATCTACTTTAAAAATATCAACATTTGTCTCCCAAATTGCATAATTCTAGACAAATGGTTCTAGTAGCTGAGTTCATTACTACCGATATCTTGGTAACTTCAGTGCCAGATTATGTTGAAAAGCTCAGAGATTGTTTTTTTCAACTCTATCAGTGGATATCAGTGGTGTAAAATTCCAGCTACTTCAAGAATATCAACATTTGTATCCCAAGTTTGCAGAATTTTACAAAAAGATACTAGACGGTTATTTTTATAAGGTTCAAGTCATTTACTAGTAGCCAGTTACTAGTAGCCAACTTTACATGCTTGTCGTAGCCAGCTACTAGTAGCCAGTTACTAGTAGCCAACTTTACATACTTCTCGTAGCCAGCTACTAGTAGCCAGTTACTAGTAGCTAACTTTACATATCTAGCGGAATATATGATTGAACTCTGGTACAGACATTTTAATGTTTAATGCAAAAATTATTAGTTTATAAGATTGTTTATCGCGTTTGTAGTTATTACATGTATGAACTAAGTATTTTCTAGTTCGCACTGGTACAAACGTGGTTACTATGGATAAGCAGTAAAAGTGATGAAAGTGGGAAACGATTATCGATGATACAATATGGGCGCTCAACCCCATATAGTATACTATAGGAAAGATAGCCATTTAATGCTAGCACCTCAATAATTTTGTTTGATGACATGTTAAGCTGCGAATTGATTGATGGCTTGTAAAAACTCCCTTTTACGATAAAGAGTGATGGATCGTTTTCGTGCCAGCACCCAATCGAAGGACCGATCTGAATAACCCGGAGCGGTATTCGAACAAATGTGGCTTAAGGATCCTTGCTCCCCGCACAAGAACAATTAAACATATGGAGACAATGAACAGTATTCAAGATAAAAAGTCCATAAAACAATACAAAATAGGAGCAAAGCAAACAGGGACCTTTAAAATATCAGAGGTGGGATCAGGTGCTAAGAAGGGGTAAGCATCCCCTGCCGACCGGTCATACCCGCCGTGTTCTCCTTGTTATAATCGAGAAATGACGGAAAAATCCGTCGTCAATTCAGTGTTTAAAAAATGGACTAACAATTAGTATGAAAACGTCAGTCAGCATTTGACTCCATTATTAATTGTATTTGCTGACAAGGTCATTGTTTCGACCATAGAACTTAAGAAATGATGACACTATGTATGATATAAACGCATGTGGTGTGAACAATTGAGAAAGTCCAAATTATAACTGTATCTTATCCTAATCATAGCCTTAACGGCTGTTCAATCAGTTTAGAGCTCGCTCCCTGAGTTGGAGTCTCGGCCGCGACTGATCTAATATAAATGGTAGCCACTTTTCCCTCGCTAGGAGCTCGGCATTTTAAAATGAAGGATGCGAGTCCTTCGAATGAAATCTTACAAACCTAGGTTCAATGTCACGTCAACCATTGGTAAGATAAAAGTCCCTCACCAGTACTGTTCAATGACCTAAAGTGCCGATAAAATGGTATGGATTATGAATGAAAAATACTCGAATAGAACTTTAAACAGTCGAACTTTATACAATCGATCAATCTTCTATCCGTAGACGACAAACGTCATTACATGTATATAGTTGTTTCTAATTCTTGGTACTAACCAAAAATTCATTTGTTTTGCAGATTTTTCTGCGCCTTTTTAAAAACTCCTCGACTCACAATCTACTTTCCTGATGCCTGTCTATCTGAGGCACCTGAAGTACAGTGTTCTAGTCTAGCACACCGTTTTTACCCTCTGCCTTTTGAGATAAAGGAACTCCTCGAGTCTGCTAAGACCAGGATCTACGAATTAAAGATTCAAAATAATCGACCATTTCAGGTTGTTTTTTGTATGCTACATCAGGTTTTACAAGTGTTAAATAAAAATTGACGCTCTTGCCTTTCCATAATCACATTTGACTTTCCATTTTTGTTACTCAATATTGTTAAATTGAGAGTTGTTTCACTTACCTGTAATGCATTTTTTTCATTTTAGATGAAAGTTAATGACATCACAAAGGTATATGTAGTATTTGTAGTACTTTGAATTTTCACAGTTTCTTTTGAATTTTTCCGCTCTATCAGATAAATGGCTTCCGTTCCTCAGTATTAAGGTCAGACGATACGTTCCTCAAATATCTGTGTCGTATATTTTTTTTTTATAATGTATGAAAAATATTCAGTCATTTTACATTCGGATTTTAAAGCAGTTTCCTATAAAATCGTCTTTTAAAAAATGAAAAGCTTAAAATTTGGTTTTCGATATAGCAAGTTTTTGTCATCTGTCCGTAATAAAGGAGCCAAGTCTCTTTTTTTGCCATATATACTGCGGGATTCACTTCCGGTTTAGTGGCATGGAGTCAAGGATGAGCTGTCAAGGTGGAAAGAGGGTCATGCAAGGCCGGTAGTCGTCAAGCAGATTGGATTTATTAACCTGAATAAATAGCACAAACACTCCGGATACTGAATTAGTTGCGAAATTTTTCTGAACAAACCCAGATCTATTTGTTTAGGTGGCTCCCCCCCCCCCAAAAAAAACACGTTGCCATCCTGGTGGGGGTTTCTTTTCCGGATTTTTTTGACGATAAAACCTCAGAATATTGTGATCTTTCTATAGAACCCTGGGGATATTTAAGTTCAAAATCGGTAAAAAAAATTTTGAACGTAAATAGCAAATATGCAAATCTACACTTCACCTCGTACTTTTATATTCTTTTCAGCTCAGATACGCCATATAATGCTTTAAGAAGAAAAAGGTTACGTAATAGACAGTTCCATGCCTTGATAAAGTTTAATACGTTTTGACATGATCACTCTTAATAATATAAATATACTATTTTCTGTGAAATACGTTCAAAATGCTTCTTAAAATACAGTTTTGGATTATAGTATTACATATCTTTCTGATTAAAGTACATGTACAGTGTATAATGTGGCATGCAAGTAGACTATGCTGAGATACATGTACATAATGTCTTTCTTGTTTCTTTTTATTTTGATGAATGATGTTGCCAAGGTAACTAAAATCGAAAATTCTGTAAAATTTTATCCAATGCTAATCCTGCAGTTGAACTCTTATTGCAATCTTGCCACAAAAAGAGACTCAATCAATTTTGTATTTCGATGTTTGATTTAGAAAATATATATTTCTTGCAACATTTATAATTACAAGTCTTTATTGAAAGAAATTTTATCAAGATTGATGTCTTATAATATTAATTCTACCTAAATATCAAAATGACGTGGCCACGCGATGTCTTGGATTCAGCTAATTTTTTTCTTACTGAAACTTCAATGAATGAAAAGATTGACTATATGAAAGAAAGCATGGTAGTTTACCCGGTTGCCATGGAAACGGGGCTAAAAGGTATAAATTATAGTGGATATTGCTATTTATCAATAATATCAAGAAAAAAATACAAGGAAAAACTGTTTTTGTGCATATTTTTATGTGCTTGATGACAATCAAAACCATGTAAAAAATAGTATATGTCTCAAAGTTTTTACAATTTCTAATTTTCTGATGCCAAAAAGTGAATAATTAGTCCTCGTTACCTCCTTTGTTAGACTTAATATTTAAAGACTTTGACAAGAGATGTGAAAATCCTAGTAGGGAGATTTAGATTCAAGAAATGTTATTTTGCAAAGATTATTAACAGCATTTATGGGTAAATGAAAAATAAACATTTTATTACACTATAAAGTTGGTCTAAATGTGCTATGTCACTATCCGAGTTATTTCCCTTGTTGGAGCTCTTCGGCATTGAAGAATACAAAATGTGTAAAATGTAAACAAGATGGCAGACAATAAAATCTGCATTTTTTCTTCTTGTTTTGAAACATCTTGTTCAAAAAAATTCTACCTCAGAAACTCAGAATTTGATGAAAAACAGTTAACAAAGTAGGGATAATCTTTAAGAAAAGCCAAAGGGTTGATCTGGACATGATGAGTATTACACGTATAGCTACTCGTAGAATGGGAAATATGAGGAAATCAGGGTGGTATGGGGCGAAGGCCGAGAAGATTTTAACTGTTCCCTACAAGATGTCTTTGAAATAGAGATCGAGAGATACATTTAGCACTAGTGGTGTGGTAGTCCCCCACCAATCCCAATTGCAATGTGTAAGTATTTTTTTATTTATAATTCTATTCAGTTGTCTCATGCACCTGGTAACTGACTGTATATCGAAATATAAGAATAAAAACAAACAAAACCATGAAAACTTGGATGCACAGTTGCACATATTACATGTACATGACACTGAATCATATACTACTGTGAAATATATGTGCCCGTTTTGGGTACCGGTATTTTATTTTCTATAAAATTCAGTATATTTGAAGAACATTGTTTGTATAAATTTATGATTCCAAGCGATAATATGTTTGTGTCCATTCTATTTTAACAAACAGGATTTGTAGAAATCATACCACGAAAATATTAAACCTTTGTCTTTTGACAATGATAACTGAATAGTGCGTTCGAGTTTTTGAAATTTTAACCAATATCAGGACCGTAGAATATTTGAAAGAATTGATAAAAAAGTGTAAATGTAAAATTATGAAAATTAACTCAGTACATGCAAACACACAGATTTACAGCTGCTAATAGTGTTCTAGATCTAAGTACATATACTTTGTCATACTATGTGAAATCATTTTTGGGACCTTGATACAATTAAGTTATTTGCTCTGCAAGGTAATGCATTGTAAAGTAGGTAAAGAAATCTATCCAAGGGTGTTAGAATGTGACAAATCCATTTCATTTGTACTTGGGAGTTCCTATAAATTAGTTAATTGTCATGAAGCACTCTTTATTGACTTTTCTAAGATGCAGCTTTCTGTCTCATAATTTTATTTTACTGATCACTGTTTTTCAGCTATATATTGCAGGCATATCAATCTTGCACACATTTATGAATAGTTTTAGTTTTACAATATTGATCTGTACATATGAGATCATTATGATGATGTTTACTTTACATGTCAATAACATCATATTGTACAAATTAAAAATAGTCACATTAAAGAACAAAATGAATTATACCACATTACATGTAGTATCAATAAAACATGTATGTTTTTATTATAATTAGTTCAAGATATAATAACATTTCATTTACCACTTTAAAAATTAATTGTTGTCAAATTCATTTCTACTCTAGATCTCCGGCAATTTGTTCAAACCGAGAAAAGCTTTAACTGTGTAAATTGAAAAAAAAATGCTTGATGACAACATTGATTCCCCTCCTTTATCAATCATTCCTCATGATTCAGAAAATTTTCAGGATAACATTTAAATATCAGGTACATGTAATATATATTTGATGTTTAGGATTTTAACCCAAACTTTCAAATTAAAAAATAATTTAAATTCACAGATATTTGCAGCCCTTGCAAGATTTTCCTAATGAAGATTCTCAGGATTACAGATCCTTTAGCAAGGGGACCAGACAGGTACATGTATTGTTTATTAAGTTACATGTATTCATGGTGATTGCCATGACAATGCATCAAGGGAGATGATAACGTTTAGAGGTTGAAAATGTATATGTTATATATATAGCGAAATTTTAAGATTCTAGTTTTAAGTTTTTAAAATAATTTTTAATTAATTTTTATCCAAGCTGACCAAAAATTAATGGTATTTTTTTTTTATTTTCATGTGAACAGATAGAAATGACCAGAGCAGAGGACACACAGCCCCCCCCCCCCCCCCTAAAAAAAAGTCACAGTGGACAGGAAGTAATTTTTACATGAAAAATAGAAAGTAGGAATAAGAACAGAAAGAAAAGAAGATCGCTGGTGCAAGATGGATATAGAGAGGGTTTTCTAAAGATCATTACTAAAATCCACAGCAAATTGCAAGGCTGAGCTACTTTTCAAACTTATACAAAAGGACATAAAGAAATTTGATGTAATTCGAGGAAACGAAGCTGACATCAAATGAGAGAATATGAAGGAACAAATTTTAGCGGAATTTTTTTTTAAGCAGATCATCTGTTTTCCTTAGAGAATATGTGTATTCTAAATTGATTCAAAATTGATTTCTTGATTTTCAAAAAATGTCACTGTTTAAGTGGAGCATACATTCCAATGTCATGTTTATTTCTTTTCTATAAAAGCAGTATTATGAAAAGAAGCAGTTTCTTCCCTTTTTATATCCCAATTCTGCAGGAGAGATGGTATACTGATTTATTATATACCCCCACATGGGCTCACAAATTCATAGTTTTATACTGGCAGGCTTCACACAGTATGTCATGTATGATTAGAATATGAATACATTTTAACAAATCTGAGTACAAGATTAATTGTGAAACACTGATTCCCCCATACATGGCAGCTTATGCCATGACTCCCACGAGGTATCCCAAGAAAGGTCCTGTCACAAGGAAAACACCTGTGAAATATGAAAATCTAGTCCAACTTCAAAAGTTGTGGTTAAGGTTAAGGTTTTTTTTTTTAAGTCAGTCAATGTCTAAGGTCAAGGTCAAATGGTTAAAAATATTTATACCCATTAAAAGAACATAATAGTTAAGGTTAACTGATCATCTGAATATGCTGATAAGCAATGTGATAATAAGAATTAATTCCACATATAAGGCCATTTAAAAAAAAATTGTTTGCCTTCCTCCCAACAGACTGACTAAAATTCAAAACTTTTTTTTTACATTGCAAGACAAGATGTTTTTTTTTCTTTTTATCCATCTTATCTCATCAACAAATATTTTGAAATTTTCTGGGAAAAATATTTTTCAACCTACCCACCGAATTAATTATTTTACCATGAGTTGGGAGAGGGCAAAAAAAACATTATAATCAAGATGGTCTTGCTAACTTGTTTTGACATTATATTGTCTGACTTACTTTCATATTTTCATTAGATACTGTCATATCATTTATAAATATGAGTTTGCCTTTTTACTTAAATTATACATTTAAGGGGGCTCTCTACAACGTCACAACAACTTCCGTAAAAACGCCATTTTGATCCCAAATGATCAGATTCAAATTCACTTAACACCGATAAATCACTGAGTCTAACACAACATGCGATACTGTGGATGGAATGGACATTATATCACATCAATTAATACAGTGTATGCCCAATACGTATACTTTCTTTAAAAATGAATTGTTTGTCAATTTATTCAATTTCTACTTATTTAATTATTAAATAATACATTTACAAACTTAATAGAATAAGATTTTTAGATGAGAAAAAAATTATATAAAACATGGCTTGTCCATATGCTAATTCATCATTACGTGTCAAAACGCCATACACTCAGAAATTTTATTTCTCCAATAAGCATATATGCTTTTCAGCAAAATACAACCCCCAAAAATGCAAATTGATAAGATAAGAGTCATATGTATTATCTTCCCATCGACTAGAGGATACTCTGTTCTCGATTTGTATACACCCGAATGAATGGTTATACCCGGTGAAATTTCGCATGACCCAAACGTTTGATCACCATTGATTGTCAGCTGTTTACAAGTATGGGAAACGTGCAGGTTTTAGACGAAGTGTGCATTTGGTTATAGGAATTTCTTTTACCGCTTTTGGCCATTTACCATCTTAACTTGTTTTATTGTATGTAGCACTGAGGATAACACATGCAAGTTGGATAAAAACGGTAAGTAAATCTACCTTCTCAATACCATGAATTCACTAAATACATGTCTTTGTCATTGACTGGAAATGCGATGATTTTCGCTTAAACTCATTGAAAAACAATACATGTACAATACGAACTTCTTTCAATGTCCTTGCGTGACATTTGTTTAATACTTGTGCAAGTAGAGTTTATTTGAAGTTTATATAAAAAAAACAGTACCAAGATATTTGAGTCCACTCCTAAGGCGGATCTCTCACACCTGAATTTTTGTGATGTTTATAAATTTTTGACAGTTTTTCAATTTTTTTCAATTTCTTTTTTTCATTGTTTTTACCCTTTGATATTATATATCTTTTCAGATGGAAGAGGATCCAACCAGCTTTTCTCAAGAAAATGCCGTTTTAGTTTTTCTTTTGTCTATTTTTGTAAATTTAAATAAAAATTATGTTGATTTTATTTTTATCTTTGTAAGTTATTATTTCAATATTTTATAACACTAAACTTTGAAAAGAAATTATCACTGGGCTTTTAAAAATATATATAGGAGAGATTTTAACAAAATAAATAAAATATTTCAAATATTTCTAAAAAATAAATGGAAGTACTTTGGAACCTTATTTTATCGGATATGGGGCCTATTATTAGAAACAAATGCATGCAACAAAAATCAGTTATACTTTATAGGTGTAGAGAGCCCCCTTAAAAAAATAAACAATTGTTTTGAATTTGAACATATTTTAGTGAATAAATCATAGGGATTTGAAACAATTACAGGCCAACAAAAGATTTTTAAGAATTGTTGGAAACTCACTTGTTTTATTTCATATTTAGAATAAAGTAACTAGAAGCCTAGTTTTTTTCCATGGCAACATATTAATTTACCTGTCTCTTAGTTAATTGCAGAAGTTCTATTTAATTATTAAAAAGAAATTTAAATACTTGACGTATATTCATATAACATAACAATTTGTTCAATTTGGTAAAACATGTTCTTAGATGATCCTCTCTGTTATTTGTGATTAATGAAGGGGGGGGTGTCATATAATTTCTAGAAAGCTATACATTTACCTATGATTTTTTTTTATTCTCATAAAACATTAGAATATATAGTTTATTTAATGATACATGGTTACAAATATATCAGTTGTCAAAATGGTGAAAAATTTCATTGAATATGACTAAAAAAAGTCAATTTTGGCAAATTGCCAATTTTCATGCAATAATTTCTAGAAAGTTTTTGATTTACCCATAATTTTTTTTTATTCTCATAAAACCTTAGAATATAGTTTATTTAATGATACATGGTTACAAATATATCAGTTGTCAAAATGGTGAAAAATTTCATTGAATATGACTTTAAGAAGTCAATTTTGGCAAATCGCCAATTTTCATGCAGTAATTTCTAGAAAGTTTTTGATTTACCCATTAATTTTTTTTATTCTCATAAAACCTTAGAATATATACATTTTATTTAATGATACATGGTTATAAATACATCAGTTGTCAAAATGGTAAAAAATTTCATTGAATATGACTAAAAAAGTCAATTTTGGCAAATGCCAATTTTCAATGCAATAATTTCTAGAAAGTTTTTGATTTACCCAATAATTTTTTTTTATTCTCGTAAAACCTTAGAATATATAGTTTATTTAATGAAACATGGTTACAAATATATCAGTTGTCAAAATGGTGAAAAATTTCAATGAATATGACTAAAAAAGACAAATTTGGCAAATTGCCAATTTGCTAACATCCTAAATGCTGCTATGAAAATTTGCTTAATATCCATTCAAATATCTTGAATGAAATTTATTTCTGAGATTTAAGTAATATGAGCTCAGAGAATATAATTTTCATGTGAATTTACACTAATTTATTGAATGTGCACTAATTTAATTTAAAACAGAGCAAAATTTGCTTAATCGGAGGGTTCTAAATATAACATCCTTGTTACCATGGCAACCAAATTGAAAAGTTAGACTTTAAAACATCATATTTATTAAAGATACGCCAATTGTAGTAAATGGTGTGAAATTCAGCTAAACCGGAGACAGGTGTCATGTCCACGCCCCTATTGAAAATTTTGATTTTTATAGAGAATTGATATTAAAATGTTTATTAAATGAATTCAGTCTATTCAGTTATTCACACTTGAATTATCAAAGCATCACTTTTAGGACAGTCACTTCTGTATGAAGAACGTTGACAGGAATGAACTTCTCTTCTACGACTACTTTCATAATATTTAAAGGATTATTCATAGGACTATTTTATACTTATGTTCATTTTAACAAGTAAAAAAAATATTTAAATATTGTACAATTAAACTGCAAAACTGTAGCTCTCCGAGAAAATTGTATTAACAGATAAAATATATTAAAAGACGTTCATCCTAATGTGTTCAGATCAGCGAGCTAAAGATTTGCAGATCTGTACACTCATTATTTTTGTCTTTTCAAGTAGAAAGGTTGCCTGGAATGTTTTGTCTATTTTGTAGAGCAAGACGATTGTGCAGTTTGAAGACGAGTTCATAACAGATAAAGATTATCTTATCTGTAGTTTTGACGATAGGCAGTCGTGGTATAGATATGCTCTTCGACCGGTATGTCTTATTTTTACAATGTAGCTCTCCTGGTCAGAGACCAGAAGAATTTATGCGATAGTAATGCGTCCGTCGTCCGTCCGTCTGTCTGTCTGTAAACAATTTTTTTGAAAATGCTACTACTCCTACAGTTTTGGTCTGATTTCAGTATAACTTTGCACACAAGTAGACTATACTGAGTTACATAATTCTGTGTATCGGTTTTTGATTTCACTGAACGGTGTTGCCGTGGTTACTTAAAATAGAAATTTCTTTTAAAAACATTCAAAATGCTACTCCTCGTACAGTTTTGGTCAGATTTCAGTACAATTTGGCATACAAGAAGACTACATTAAGATAAATAATTATATATAGCGGTTTTTGATTTTGATGAACGGTGTTGCTGCGGTTACTAAAAATAGAAATTTCTGTGAAATTCTTTCAAAATGCTACTCCTCCTGCAGTTTTGGTATGATTGCAATATAACTTTGCACACAAGTAGACTACACTGAGTTACATAATTCTATGTATCGGTTTTTTATTTTGATGAACGGCTTTGCTGTGGTAAGTAAAAATAGGAATTTCTGTAAAAAACATTCAAAATGCTACTCCTCCTACAGTTTTGGTCTGATTTCAGTATAACATGGTACACAAGTAGACTACTTTCAAAATGCTACTTCAAATACAGTTTTAATCTGATAATAATATAATTTGGCATGCGGTTAGACTACACTGAGATACATAATTATCAGTTTTGCGTTTTGTTTTGTTTTTTTGATGATTGATGTTGCCATAGTAATTTAGATTAAAAATTCTGTAAAATTTTATTAAAAGCTACTCCTCCAGTTGTAGTCTTATTGCATTCTTGAAGCAAAAAGAGGATCATTATTCTATTTATTGCTTTTGTAAAGTTTTACGTCCCAACTGCTACTCTCTCTTCCCTTATTATAAGTACAAACCAGTAAGCTACAGTCTCGACAGAGACTTCTGGTTTTCATTATACTTTCATGTTAAGTACTAAAACCTGATTGGTTCAGACGCATTTAACGATCCAAAATGTTACTCACAGCTTTAGCAACACGCTCGACAACGGGTAACATTATAAAATGCTACGTGCTTGCAAATCATGCGCATACTTCTCAACACGTCAGTTGTGCGTTTGAAGCCGCATAAACTTGACGTCAGTAAAGCTGGCGTTCGATGTAGCTTATTTGGGAACAAGCGAGAGACAAAACAAGCTTGCGAGCTCAAGTGCAAAAAATAACACAGCTTGAGACGATAAAGGACTTTTTGAGTATAAAAAAAATTATTAGAAAGTCGGTAAATCATTTTCAAAGATTTCTTATTGAAAAAAATAGGAGCAGGGAGTTTGAAAACTTTTTAAAATGTGTACGTAAAGACGATCAACAATTTTATCTTAGCTGACATCCTAAACCAATCATACACTCAGTAAAATAGAATTTATAATGTGCGCCTGTTTTGGAGGGTACAAGTTGAAATTCAATTGTTACCTTCATAGATAGGCATCATTTATATAATGTATAAACATATTTCCAAATGCTAAGTAATATTTCCTAACCTTGAATGCTGTATTTTGGCATTGGCTTGTCTAAAGAATATAGTTATTGATAATATATTTCATTTTTCCTTTCCAATATACTCTTTCTAGAGAAATGAAAAATTATCATGCGTTCTTCCGAAACTTCCAACACACTGCTTTGTGACAGGAAGACAGGGGAATACAATTGTCAAAGAACAAGCCTTGTCATATTTCCCGGACATAGAAATACATCAGATAAGAAAAGAAAGTTGTTCAATCTATATGCAGGCGGACAAAAGAATACGTATGTCATTTCCACCAGACTGTGTCGATGATAATTGTGAGCTCTATTTAATGGTAAGTTGACCTTTTCAATAAAATTATGACATAGTCTTGCTCTACATGAATGGTTCACTTAATGAACGTGTACGTCACCCATGCATAAAATGTAAACTTTCAGGCAAGCATTGCCCGCCATCCGTCAGTACCGTTTTCAAATGATCTTTCAGGATCACATCCATCCATCGCCGTTTGTTAACATTTCATCACATTTTCGACTAGTTCTCCAGAACCATGGGGTTCTATCTTATTTTCAAGCACCCCTAGATGAAGGGGATTTTAGTTTGATCAAATAATACCCGGTTCCCCTTCAAGAGGCGATAATTAAAAAAAATATTGAAGATTTTGATGACATATTTAAATATCTTCCTAAAGGCCCTTTCACAATTGGCGCACGAGCACTTTACAAGACTTTGCGATCGGAAAATTTAAGCTTCGCACGAGCTATCGCATACGTTGCACGATGTCTCGCCTTTAAGGCCCTTTCACAATTGGCGCACGAGCAGAAGCGACAAAATATTCGTGCGACCGAATAATTTTGGATAGGATCGTAAACTGTTGCCAAAATAATCGCATATGAAAAAAGTGTTCGTGCGAAATTTGCACGATCTAAAGCGACTGTTGTGCATTAAATCTTGCGATATATCTTGCGTCTATATGCGACTGTTGTAGAATGAAAGCGAGTGTTGTAACATGTGATAGGATTGCATGACTGATCAGGTAATCGGACGATTGAACGTGCGACAAAACAATTGGACGTGCGGTGCTCGTGCGCTCATGCATTCCATAGTACGAATGTTCATGCGAGTCAGAGGGTCGGGTATATATACCACCCGTTTCCGACGCTCTTCAGTTGACATAGTTAAGATGCTTATAATTATACACGGTATATATGCCTGTTGCAAAGCATGGCAATTGAAGGTGATAAATCAAGCAATGATAGTAAAACGTTGCAAGATTTCATGAGACATGTTGAGCAACAGTCTCATGGTCGCAAAACACACGCAAAGACAGCTGGATTCATCTTACGATCTTAAAAAATCGTGCATCACTCTTACGAGTACATAAAACGTTGTAAGACGTTCGTACTAATTTTCGTGCGTTGAATTGCGATAATTTTGATCGCATTTGGTCGCGTCTGAATAGTGGGCATGTTGACTATTTTGAGGAGACTTGATGCGACCACTAAAACACATGCAATGAATGCGAGACATCGTGCAACGTATGCGATAGCTCGTGCGTAGCTAAAATTTTCCGATCGCAAAGTCTTGTAAAGTGCTCGTGCGCCAATTGTGAAAGGGCCTTTATAAATCCAATGTGCACAAACTTTCTTCAATAACGATTACAGATGTTTATTGGCCTCCTTTGTCCTGAGTGTAAGATGTTACAAAAACAAAATATATTATGCTATACTTAATTTTAGGGGGTCAGATTGCATAATGTTATACCAAAGATTTTTGTATTCTTTCGAAGTTTTTTCTAGTCTTGTCTGACCCCCTTATAATATGTTTATATTTTTGTTTTGCGTCACTTACTTCAATAAGACATTTTTTCACTTTCACTACTGTTGTTATTTTATTACTAGCTCAGTTGACTTGGCTTCGGTCTTGCATTAATAACAGAGGAACATAAAAATATATGTATTCGTCTTTAGTTTACTGATTATTCTATAAATTTGACAGATAATTCATAAAAAGCCACCAAATTAGTTTATGCAATTTATCCTGTTTATGGTTTATAACAAATATAATATGCAAAAATAAAGTGACGCCAAATTTTAAGACTTAGCGTATACAATAATTATTATAGAATTGACATTTTGCATTAACATTCTTACTCTGGGGGTCTGTGAACAGCATAAAAATGGGGAAATACAATGTACTAGTGCGCATACAAAAATAAACGTGGGTTCTTCCCGGATATACAACTGAACAGAGCAGGAATAACATAAAAATTAAATCAACAAGCACAATTTCCGTGTCACTACATCCAAATTCGATCAAATCATTACCCTGAAGGGTAAGTTCAAGCGAAAGGGCGGGAGTAAAGGAGGCCTTGACATTATGCGAGGACTATTGAGATTGACATAGGCGGCTTCGAGTAATTTAGATCAATTAGAGCAGATTCTTTAAACTATATTTATTACAATTTTATTTCACAATCAAATGTAAATGTAAGAAATCACTGTCAAATTTGCTGGGTATGCCAGGGACATTCATTAATCACTATCAATTTTAAATTTATACTTACACTTGTATGATGTATGAAAACTAAATAAAGCCATTATTTTCAGATGGACTTGCCCGAGAGACAGATTTGTCCATTTATTCATGTATATATCACAAAGTCCACCGGTCGCCCCGTTGAAATCAGTTTGCCAATAGTTTATCAAGGTCATCATGCTTACAGTTATCGTACTTGAAAATCAATGATACCAATTTTAGCAATAAACATGTGAAATGAATTTAAATATTTATTTGATAATATTTACTCTTTAGGATCCAAGAATACAGAGAATTTGATTATTACCAGGGAAGGAAACGGTGAATGGATGACCTTGAACTCTTTGTTGAAATTAGATGCTGCCGGATATACATTTGAGACTTCCATTATTAAATCAAAGTATAAGTTTCTATCTCTTTAATTGTAAAATAAGGATTCAAACTTTTTTTTATATACAATGTGTGTAAATTCTCATCTTTTGCAGCGTACCAACAGCATTTGGAATAAAAGAAGCTGTGTTGCCTTGGGTATGTCGTTAAATATTTTCATCTGATTTTTTTTTTCGAAGCATAAATATAATAAAAATGTATACAATCTAGGGATTGGCAATGGTTAATTAGTTAAGTCAAATTGGTCAAATAAATTGTAACCATTACAATTTTATCTAATAATTATCTCTCTAGATAATATACATTTATATACTTTTTTTAAAACTGAACAACACCCAAACTAAGTAAATAAAGGATACAAAGACCCAGTGCCATCATTCATAAAATGGATTATAAGGGAAAAAAAAAGATTTTTATAGAATTATCAATAATTCAACCATTACAAGTACTTTCTCTTTAAATTATGAAATTTTATCATAAATTTTACCTTTGAAAAATATTGTGTTACCAGTTGGGTGCATTGCTTGCTTTTCAGTAGCTTTACACAAAATTTAAGAATATAAATATCAAATTAAAACAAGGTATAGTAAGACCACTTTGTATTTAAAAACCATGGAATACTCGGGATAAGATTTATTGTTAGTGATAGTGGTATCATTTGCACTTTGTCCAAAAATACTGCATGTTTTGCACACCACAAATAATTCATGTATGCTACACTAGAAAAATATTATACAATAAACATTGAAAATATGTAAATTTTTATTAAAAGAATATAGATTTTGCCCAACAAAATGCAGTGACGTTGTGCACGGTGTTGGTGTCAGTTTCGGTATCGTCAAAATGACGTAATTTTATGCGAAGGTTTAGAAAATTAATCTGACGTTACTCTTCTGCTAGCACTTTTTATGAAGGAAAAATAAAAACCCAGTAATACCTCCTATTATATATATTGCAGTTCATTGAAAACACATGTATAATTAAATTATTTGCCCTTTTGCATGCATATTGCGGGAGGAAAATATAAGCATGATTTGCCTCATTTAAAAAACTTCGTAGAAATAACAAAACTTGTTCGACATCGCATTTTAAATTTACATGCTTTGTTTTATTTAAGGTCAGACGCAACATTCCTCAAAAATATATAATATTTTCTAAGAATTTGTTATTGAAGTTTAGGTACCTATACATGTTTTCCTCACAAAACATTTGGGTACCTTACCAGGCATTTGGCCAAGATACCATAGGGTCATATTTCTTATTTAGCCCTTATGGGTAATTTTTTAAATGGCATATATCACAATTTTTGTGTACTTATATTTAAAAACATTTCGAAAACAATGTAGAAATCAGAGGAGAATGACAAATATGAATAATTTCTATATAAAACCAAGATATACAAAACATTTATTTGAGGAATGTGTCGTCTGACCTTAATTGTGATAAATTCAAAACAATTCCATATTATATCAGTAGGTCCTAGAACCTGTTCTTTGTTTTAGGTACATTTTGTGATTGTATATATGTTGCTTATACAGCACTGAATTATATTTTTAATTCAAAGTCCATATTCCCAACCCATCTTCAACCCCTACCCTCACACAGGCCCTTTAATACTGAGTATTTTTTGGTTGTAGATCTAACTATTTCAAATAATTCAGTTAAAAAAAAAAAGATAGGAAACGAACCTAGAATTAACCCGCCCCTTCCCTCATTTAAAGTTGTCATTGAAAAGGATTTTCAATGTGGTGCAGTTTCGAAGTTTTGTATTTCTTAAAAAGTTGTTTTATTTAACAAAAATAGAAAATATATATCATTACACGTCATAATAAAAAATGTCAAAATATTGATGTATGTCTTTTCTTTTTTTAGAGTTGGGGGGGGGGGGGGGAGGGGTGTATTTATACGCATATCTTGTTTAACTTATTATGAGGTCCATTCGGCAAACCTTGGGGTGATTCCTGTGTTCAAACTATATCAGATGTATGTCAAATTAGATGAGGTACATGTATGAATCGGCCGAAGTGTGCCGAGCATGATGAAGTATTTTAAACGATGCTATCGGGTTAATGACAAAATGAAATTATAATATGCTACTAAAGAAATCTGATACTTAATGTAAATCACACCCTCCAACACCCCCCCCCCACACCCCCCCCCACCCCCCGCTCAATACTGCATGGACTACCGAATGTAAACTGCCCGTTTTGAAAGCTTTGTCAACATCAAATATAAAGTTGAGACACTTTGTTGTCAGGGAATTCAAATTTGAAAGCATATCCTAAATTTTATAAATTTTGGATTGTGACATTTTTCTCGATTTTTTTAAAATTCAAATTATGG